GCTGGGTGACAGTCCAGGCGTGCAGAGAGAAGTCTCTCCACCCAGTGATAATGAACATGGTAATCAAGGATGTTTACCATCGCCATGGCACTGCCGCGCCTTTGCAGCGCCAGCTGCAGGAGGAGCTCGGTGCTTGTATCAGCACGCACCTCTACTTTGGTCTCGGACCTAAGCTTGCCCGAGCTGTCAAGCGAGAAGAAGGGCTCCCGCTTTGCGGCTGTCGAGGCTTCCTGCTCTTTGGATACAAGTTTCTCCCAGGGCACAAACTGCAGCTTATCCTGCTCGTACTGAGAAACGAACGAGTCCACAAGGGAGTCGGCGGGTTCAAGGCGATTCCTGATGGATAGACCGACAAGTCTCTTGCTGACAACCTCAAAGCGCTCCGACCTTTCAGGAACACTCAGTTTCCTGGGGACAGATTCGTCCGTCCTTTCTACAAGAAGTTTCATCTCGCTGGTGGTGACAGCGTACGATTCCTGAAAAAGGCGTCTGAAGGAGCTCTTTTGTCCCACAGAGGGTGGTGACCCGAGAGCCGACTCGAATGCAGCTATGAGGTCCTTGTCGTCGCCGGAGCCCGGCGTGTAACTCGTCATGAACGCCACNNAGGGCTTCCACATCCTTAGCATCCAAGCCTACCTGAGCGCACCGTGTCTTAAACACGGGAGTGGACTCAGAAAAGGCCGCCATGATGCTCTCTCTTGGTCCGCTAAATGCCGTACTATATTGGGGACCTAAAAGGGGGCCCAAATTTTGGGACGGTAGGTCTTTGGGGCCACAGGAGGGCTGAAGGGGAAGAAGTACGTATTTAGGGGTTCAGGACGGGATGCCCGAAACCCTAAACTTAAGCCCGAAACCCTAAACCTAAGCCCTAAACCCTAAACTTAAGCCTCAAACACTAAACCGCTCTCTCCGGCGTCGCCTCGGCGACCTTGCGGCGTTGGGCTTCCTCGGCCGCCCGCGCCTCCTCCCGGCGGGCCTGACGTGGCTTTAGGGTTTAGAGCTTAATAGCGTTTTTAGGGTTCAGGGCTTTAGGGACTTAGGGTTCAGAGTTTGGGGTTTAGGGTTTTTTAGAGTTTTAGGTTATAGGGTTTAGTCTTTAGGGACTCAGGGTTCAGAGTTTGGAGTTTAGGGCTTCTTAGAGTTGTAGGGTTTAGGGTTTAGGGCTTGGCGCTTCGGGTTTAGGGTTTAGGGTTTTGGTTTAGGGCTCTTTGTTGCAGGCTGCCAGCACCCTAGCTTTTGCAAGCAGTTGTGCCGGGTTTTTCGGGTTAGGGATCTTGGGGAGGGTCGCAATGTTGTAGCCTAAACCCTAAACCCTAAACCCTAAACCCTAAACCCTAAACCCTAAACCCTAAACCCTAAACCGTGTTGTAGCAGTCTTGGATCGGATTTTGATATGCGTCTTAGGGTTTAGGGTTTAGGGTGTAGGGGCCTTGGGCTTTTTAGGGTTGTCCGAGGTTTTACAGGGCTTCATGGAACTGTCACCCTAAACCCTAAACCCTAAACCGTGGGATCTGCTTTTGGATCCTGCCGGGGGTCTGGCTGAACAGAGCTTCGAAGCGCTTCCGAGGGCTGATAGGGTTTAGGGCTTTGTTTTTTTTTGGGTTTTTGGGTTTAGGGCTGATAGGGTTTTAGGGCTTCAGGGTTTTAGGGTTTAGGGTTTAGGGTTTTAGGGTTTAGGGTTTAGGTTTGAGGTTTCAGGGTTGAGGGTTCAGGTTTAGGGTTGAGGGTTTAGGGTTCGGGGTTGAGGGCTGATGGGGTTCTATCATGGAGCTTTCTGGTGTTGAGGGTGTAATATCGAGGCCTTAAGAACTAGAACCCTAAACCCTAAACCCTAAACCCTAAACCCTAAACCCTAAACCGTTTAGGGGTCATTTA